TTAATTATTTGCTTCATAAGTTTTGTGCGTAAATGGGACTAGAGATGGTGAATTCCTCTGACCATTCATTCTTGCTGATAACATTTTCTGTAGTCTTGGGTGGGAAAGTTACCAGAATATCCTCATCCGGTGGCATCTTCCATATCAAGCAGAATGATGGTTGAGTTTGGGATGATCACAGCTGTTATGGCTGCTGCTGCAGTGGTAGTAGGGGGTTTTTTGGCTTCAGCAGTCTTTGCTGCTACCAGTTTCATCTTTGTCACGACAGTATATATTGTGTGGCCAATAGCAAGACCATTTCTCAAGCTCTTTCTCGGTCTTATCTTTAGCATTTTTGAGAGAGTGTGGGACAATGTTGTCGATCTATTCAGTGATGGAGGGATCTTCTCCAAATTTTACGAGTTTTACACATTTGGTGGTGTCTCGGCTAGCCTTGAAATGCTAAAACCAATAAGCATTGTTCTTTTGACTATGGTCCTTCTTGTACGTTTCACTCTGTCGAGAAGACCTAAGAACTTCAGGAAATGGGTACTACTCTTCTCTCGTCATTTTCGCTTGCTTGTAGTGTGATGCAATAGCAATGTTCTAGCGTCTGTTAACCATTAAATTCTTTGCGTGACATCGCTTGTCATTATGCAGGATCTATGGCAAGGAATTGATTTTTCAAGATCCAAAGCAGAAGCTCGTGTTGATGTTAGTTTCGTTTTGTAATTTGCATCCAAGCATTCTTTGCTGGTGTAGAATTTGGACTAATTTTTTAGAATGTTCTCTGTGGATGAAATATTCCAGGGTTCAACAGGAGTAAAGTTTGGTGATGTGGCAGGGATAGATGAGGCTGTGGAGGAACTTCAAGAGGTAATCACTCTTTTTCTATGGGTATTCACTTGTAAGAACAGCTAATTTATTGCTTTGTTCCTGACTGAATGATCCCTTTGAGTTATCTTTGACAAATGGTACAAGAGTTTTCTTTGGATAACTACTATTTAAAGACTTGAATCTAGCATTTTTTACTTGTTCAACACTTCCATGTATTCCCTGAGCTTTGGCAATTTTACATGATGAAAATATTGTTCTAGCAAATCATGCCTTACAAAGTTAGATAATCTAGATGCAGCATGTGTGATATTTGCATCTCTAACTAAATCTTTTGCTCGAAGGGTGAGTTCATACTGAAATTTCGAAATTATCATTGTTTGTAGCCTGAAACAGACACATAGACATTTTTGCATACATAAACGTGCAAACGATAGCGCTAACTAGAATCTCGTTTTAACCCCAAATTTCCTGTTTAGAACACATTATACTTAAGGGGCCTTACTTACTATAAAGTACTTTGCTCTTTCATGACATCAATATATTGTAATTCCATAATGTGCTTTTGATTTGTTACCATCATCCAGCAGAAGCTCACAGATTCCGTTTATTTTGCTGGTTAGTTAGTGAGGTACTTGAAGAATCCGGAACTATTTGATAAAATGGGAATCAAGCCTCCCCATGGTGTCCTTCTGGAGGGACCTCCTGGGTGTGGAAAGGTTGGTTTTATTTGGTTTCTCCTGCAAATACCTTTGGCTGTTCTCACCCTTTCTATTATTCTGCAGACGCTGGTTGCCAAAGCCATAGCTGGTGAAGCTGGCGTTCCATTTTATCAAATGGCTGGGTCTGAATTTGTTGAAGTTTTAGTCGGTGTCGGTTCTGCTCGTATCAGGGATTTATTCAAGAGAGCTAAGGTATTATATTGTCCATACTATTCGAGTAAAGGATTAATTCCTTAATTTAACAAATAGGCCTATACTGAGTTGAGGATCGTGGAATTTTGTTAACTTTTCGAAAGATTTTGATGTGATTGTTTGCTCTTTGTTGCGTCACTTATGTGACAGAGGTTAGCTTTCTCGTATGTTACACCCAACTTTATGGGCTGTTACCTTGTAACGTACATCCACTTGTCGAGTGGGTTGGTTCACCTGCTTTTGGAATTGTCAACATCCTTTTACCGCTTTAGTTTTAACTATTCTGATAGGTCTTCTGATTTCAAGGTTTATCTGTTTTTGCAGGTAAATAAGCCTTCAGTTATATTCATCGACGAAATTGATGCCCTAGCAACCAGGTTAGTCTTCTATCTGAGCCGGCTCTTGATTGATTGAACCCTTCCTGTCACATTTTTGTCATCTGGAAATTCCTCAGTTGCCTGTGATTTGGCAGGGACAGTTGTCACTGCAGTAGTAATTAAAGCTTGTCTATTGTGCATGGTAAGCCCATAACTGTTGCTTGTCTTCTTGTTTTGTCGTTTATCTTTGATCAGGCGTCAAGGAATCTTCAAGGAATCCACAGATCACCTGTACAACGCCGGAACTCAAGAAAGGGAAACTACATTGAATCAGCTTCTTATAGAGCTTGATGGGTTTGATACTGGAAAAGGTGTGATATTTCTGGCAGCTACAAACCGTAGGGACCTATTAGATCCTGCACTCCTTCGTCCAGGTCGTTTTGATCGTAAGGTTTGTTTCTGTTAGTAAATAGTAGCTGTACTTTATTTTAGCTACACTGAACCCCAAGGAGAAATTGAAATAAAAGGAAAAAGGAAAAAGCTTTGAGTTAAAACTCGTACTTGGTATTAAGGCTGTTCTTGATATTGGGTGTCTTGAGTTTTTAGAATTAGTAAGGTGGCTAACTGGACTATTTCATGTTTTAAACTTTTTTTTCTTTATTTTCGTATTGTGTGTATACTGCAGATTAAGATACGGCCCCCTAATGCAAAAGGGAGACATGATATTCTAAAAATTCATGCAAGCAAAGTAAAGATGTCAGAGACCATTGATTTATCGTCGTATGCACAGAATTTGCCAGGTAGCTATGTTTCTCAACTATTATCAATTTGTTGGTTCAATATCTGATATGTGTTTGAATTATTGATAGGATGGAGCGGAGCACAATTGGCTCAGCTTGTCCAAGAGGCTGCTCTAGTGGCAGTTAGGAAAGGACACGGATCAATTCTTCGATCAGATATGGACGATGCAGTCGATAGACTCACTGTTGGACCAAGACGTGTTGGAATAGAGTTAGGTCATCAAGGACAATGTAGGAGAGCTACCACTGAAGTAGGAGTTGCGATGACTTCTCATCTTCTGAAGAGATACGAGAACGCCGATGTCGAGTGCTGTGATCGGATTTCAATCATCCCTCGTGGAGAGGTCCTCTTTCTGTTCCCAAGTCCTCTGTATCCTGTTTTCTTCTTTCACAAGGACTTGAGACTTCAGCATGTTCATTTCCTGGAACAACTCATTATGTTGGATGCTTACCTGCTGGTGCCATTAGCTACCAGGCAATCAGTATTATCATCGGATTTGCTATATTATTTTCCTTTGAAGCTTTATTTAGGGCTCCTCTTATTACTGAATGGTTGACTTGTGAACATGCAGACATTATCTCAAGTTGTCTTTCATCGACTTGATGACGAAAAATATATGTTTGAGCGCCGGCCACAACTGCTTCATCGCCTTCAGGTATGACACTCTCTTTGGCTAGTAGGCAGCTGGTGTATCTTCCCTTCCTCTTATTTCTATTAATAGATTAAATTGAATTGTGTCCTTATCCTGCTGTATTCGAACTATAGGTTTTGCTTGGAGGACGTGCAGCCGAAGAGGTTATTTATGGACGGGATACATCAAGAGCATCCGTTGGGTATCTTGCAGATGCTTCTTGGCTTGCTCGTAAAATTTTGACAATGTCGGTCCCTTGTGCTGTAATCAGTGAATTTCCTTTTCGAACATGTCATGGTGTTTAATACGGGGTTGTTCCGTGCTCCATTAACAGATGGAATTTGGAGAATCCGATGGTCATCCATGGCGAGCCACCTCCTTGGAGAAAGAACGTCAAATTTGTTGGACCGAGGCTGGACTTTGAAGGATCGCTCTATGACGACTACGGTTTGATTGAACCGCCAATAAATTTCAACTTGGACGATCAGGTTGCTCAAAGGACTGAAGAGCTCATACGCGACATGTATGGAAGGACTGTTTCTCTGCTCAGGAGGCACCATGCGGCCCTGCTCAAAGCTGTGAAGGTAAAATACACGATGTGATCTGAGTACTTGTTTTAGATTTTTCAGTATCTTCAAATCTTGGGGCCAAATGAAACTAGAGTCGAGCTAAATTGTGAGGGATGCTGAGTGTGTGGACTTATTTGTTTCATGCTCTTATAAGATAGTACTAATCCTGAGCCCTTTGGATCTGTATTTTAGGTTCTCCTCAACCAGGAAGAAATCAGTGGAGAGGAAATTGACTTCATTCTGAATAAATATCCTCCACAAACACCTGTGAGCCTTCTCTTGGGGGAGGAAAATCCGGGAAGTCTTCCGTTCTTCAAACAAGAAGCAAGTGATTTGGAGTACGCGCTTGTATCTCAGTCAAAAGAACAAAGCCTGTGAAACATTATGTGGCCTGGCTCAATACAGTAGATCCCTTGATGGGTGTGAGAGAGGACTCTCCAGTGAGTGATTTCCTCGTCTCATATGAAAGGTTGCATTCAGAAATAGCGTGAATGACAAGAGCATGGCGATTTTCATCGCGCTCAGTGTTTATTTGCTTCAGCTCAGTCCATGAAAAGAGAGGAACGTGTGACCTAAGAGAACTGTCAGCCACTTCTGTGTCAGTATTCAGAAATGAGATGGTTATCTGGCGCTTAAGATTCTTGTAGCTGTTAGAGTATTTATGAGTTTTATAAGGGGAAGGACAGCAGTTGTTTAAGTAAAATGATAACATAAGTGAAAGACAAACCACTTGTTCATTTTTGTAAATGATTTACAGGAATTGTTCATCAGAAGATTTGTTTTGGTCAGTAGGATATTGTACCAGCTCAAGTCTAGTTTTCTAGATGACTCCTGAATTCTCTGCTAATGCCTGTTGAGTTGCATTTGGGAGAAGATTGAATCATCCAAAAGTGAACCGACAACGGAACTTAAAATTCTACCAATGCAAATGAAGAAATGGGGAAAAATAAACAGCTTCAAATTCAACCATGTAGTTTCTTTTCCTCTAATATTGATAAACCATCCAAGGAATTAGGTACAACATTATTTGCTGTCTTGCAGAGCTGTTACTTTTTTGTTTGCCGGTAGCAGAGCAGTTAAAAGCATAGAAATTCAAGACTCAAAGATAATGTGTATATTTGTTGATGTTAAGTGCAAACCAAAAGAAAGTAGTAAACAAGAAAGATACAGTGATCATCACCAAACCCTGCAGTCCAAGCATCAGAAACCGACGTAGCTAAGACAAGGACAGGCGATATTCGTTCATCCCTTCAGTTTCTTCTCTTCCAGCTTTTCGGGCATCCCAGGAGACTAGTAGGATCGTGAACTTGTATGGCCATCATGATGGGAGAGGTGATATTACCTCTTGACTTTCCTCCGATCTCGCCCTTTCTTGCTGTAGAATTCATCGGTAGCTTACCCAGTTCGAAACATGTTGATGCTTCAAGAACTAAAAAATATGCAATAGAATTCCAGTAATTCCTAAATTGTCACCATCAACCCTAATAGGAAGTGATTATTGGAGAGAGAGAGCTACGGCTTAAAACTCATTTTATTTCAGCTTCACTATTATAACCAAAAATTCAGGGCTAGTTCACAAAAACAGGAAAAAAAAGGAAGTCACAGCCACACTTTATGATCTGGATATCCACAAAATGTCAGGCTTTTCAATAAGAATTCAAAGCTTTCAAGATTAACCGAGAAATTCACTCGTGTGATTGAAGCACCAAAAACAAGGGAATAGGCATAAACAAAATCACAACAAACCATTCAAGCATAAGTGGAAATGATAGTTGTAAGTAAAAATAAACAATACGGGCAGGTTGTCCGACGATGGATTAGGAAAATTCACAAACCCAGACCCCAGAGGGGAGTAAAAGAAAAGAAAAGTGCAACACCGTTGAGGCTAAGGAAATGAGGTCGAAACAGGAGGTCTTATCTTTGCTAAGCACTATCCAGGATTGCATTTGCACATTAGCTATACTTGTACGTCGTTGCTTGTCAAAACTAAAGTTGTCCTACAAAACACAGCAAATTACAGATTTCGCTGCACTGAAGGAAGATTTGATTTCTCCACTTATAAGGAGCATATTAAGACTACCTGCATAGGAGAACCTAAAAATTAATTTGGTATATATGCGAGTACAGACTCCAAATGGATGTCATCCTCAGAGCTAGACGTTCTGTTTGGACACTGACCTAAACCAGAAGAATTTCTTAATCCTCATGCCTGGAAATTAATGCTCGAACTTACAAATGAGCCAACATTCAGTTTCAAACACTCAAAGCCATTTGATCCAAACTAAAAACAACATTGACTAAAAATAATCCAGCAGTCATCAATAATCACTTAGGTGACCCTCCAGCAACGCCGTAAAATTCATAAAACCTCAGAGATGAAGGCAGACAAAATGAATGCCTTTACCTTGACTCTGATTCATCACCAGTTGCAGAACCGCCTCTTCCAAAAGCAACCTCATCCATGCTTTGCCCACGCCGGCGATATCGTCCACCAGATGCTACAAATCCAGGACAAGGCCTGTAAGCCTTTATTGGCCACCAACCAAAGCCTGGGACCGTCGCAATGCCACCTTGTATCCTCCCCTCTCCATTGCATCCCCTCTCCAGTTCCTCTCTCCCGCAGGCCTTGCAACCCCTGCACAGGGAAGTAATTATTCAGCATGATCCTGAAATTCTTGAACTTTGCAAATTAGTATCTGGTGATGGAGGAGCAGATCGACAGATTAGAGTCAAAATTTTCACCACAAGATTTAACAAGCATAGGCAAGGATGACATGCTTTCGCAACAAGCAATGAGTCAAGACAACGAATCAAGACAGGATCACAGGCATTATGTAAAGTACATTTACACATAGGTTTCAATTTAACTCGGCTATAACAAAGAATCTACAGTCAACAGAACTGCAAGTTCCTAGTTTGGTACCCTCTTCCCATTGAACCAGATAACAACGAAAGGTCCACCCGACAAACAAAGAAAGATTGATGGCAAACACGAGGTACAATTCGTCTCTCGGCTAGATGAACTACCAACTACCAAGCACCTTGTGGTGCTATAATCTGCACTACTTAAGCATAATTTGAGAGCTCCAATCATTTCATGCAGCTAACTTATAATTAGTGAAAATTGAACCACATGCTGCCGTTCCACTGCCACCGTTGCCGCCGCCGCGGCCACCTGCTGATTACATACTCCAGCAACAGGCAATGGCCTCTGTCACCATCTCTTTCTGGTCACTTTATGACCACCAGCAAGGCACTGAGTGTAAATCGCGAGAGAGAAAGAAAAAGGGTGGGGAGGGAAGATACCTCAGAGGAGAGACGTCGCCGCCTTCAACGGTGGAGTCCGGCTGGAGAGGAGCGGAGTCAGGCGGCGGCGGCGGCGGGGGAGGAGGAGGGAGGCCGTCTTCCACGACGGAAGAAGAAGCCGAAGCAGAAGAGGCGGAGAGGTCGAGCTGTGTAGGAGCACGACGGATGCGATTCGACGGCACCCACAAATCCGATCGCGAAGCTCCGCGGTTGAAGCAGTGGCGGTGACACGGCGGAGCTGCGAACATTGCCATCGCCATCCTCTCTCTCTCTCTCTCTCTCTCTCTCTCTCTCTCTCTCTCTCCGTGCGCCCCTGAGTGTGCAGGAAAGAGAGATGATAATGGCCACTCGCAAGTCACCAGCCTCTTCACTTCTCATACTGATATTTTAAAAGAGAAGAGAAAATAACGTAAACAATGTTCCCTCTAAAATTTTAATTTATTTAATTTAATTCGTGAATTATTTAATATAGTTTTTTTCCATTTGTTCAGACGACTAATTAGACGTTGTTTGATGATGTAAATTATTGTATCCTGATCTTGAGAAAAAAAAATATTTCATGTGTAACTTTTTTTTTGTGGTCCATTGTTCAAACTTAACACATTAAAAGCCACGTCAGCTGATTACGTTAACTTGCATTAATGGAAGGACGGCACTAAATATTTTCATATAGTTTAGAGACTAACTTGAACAATAATTCAAGGATTATATTGAATAAATTAAAAGTCTAGGGACTGCATTGCATATTGAATCGAATTTAGAGATTATTGGTGCCATTTTTCCTTAACGAAAGACATTGTAATTCATGTATGCGTTTGATAAAATATATAACAAAGAACAACAGGTGTGAAAAACTCTTAGAGAAATATGTCACTGATCTCAACTTGAAGATTGCAACACCATCATAAGACGAGTCACGTGTTAAATCATTACTAAAAGCTTCTCAATTCTTTGAAACAAATTTACGTTTACTTTTATAAGGTACACGAACGGTTTAACATTTTCTTTCCACTTTTGATCTCAAATTCACTTGTGTAGAAAAGGTTTCGCACAAAATTAGAATAATACGTGTAGAACCAATCCAACATCGCTTGCGAAAATAATCATTAGGGCTATATACCCGACATGCTCACCAGTTCGGCTTTTATAGGAAAAAAAAATTATTTCAGGTGCCAGCCAGTCCATATGATGCTCTTAAAAAAAATCCTTCTTACGAAATGGCTGGCACAGATAAGTTTTCCGAATTTCGACCGACGATAAAAAGGCAAGAAATCTTAGCCTAGTCGCATGAGATGGATACACTCATTAATGGGTTTGCTCTTGTGAAGAAAATAATTTCTAAAGCTCGTGGAATTATATGATCCCTAAACTTTGGCTCAATATACAATATAATCCATGAACTTTTAATTTGTTCAATATGGTCCCGAACTATAACCCAATATGCAATATGGTCCATGAACTTTTAATTTGTTCAATGTCGTCCATGAACTTTTAGTACATATTCAGTTTAGTCCCTGAACTATATGAAAATGTTCAATGTAGTCATTCCATTAAATCATGTTCAGGGACTACATTGAACATTTTCATATAGTTCAAGGACTACATTGAACATGTACCAAAAGAGTAGGGACCATATTTAATAAATTAAAATTTCAGGGACCACATTGAACATTAGGCTAAAGTTCAAAGACGATATTGAATAAATTAAAAGTTCAAAGACCACGTTACATATTGAGCCAATATTCAAGGGCTATTTGTGGCATTTTGAGAAATATATAAGAGAAAAACATCGAGTCCTCTCCCGCTCATTTCTTCTTCGCTTCCGTCTCTCTCTCTTTCGCACAAGAACGCAGAGACGATGATTGCAGCTATGCAGCAGCTGATCGCAATGACCGTGCGCGAAGTGCTGCAGGAGTCAGATGCCGACGAGATGACCGAGCACCAGCTGCGGATGGAGGTGTCCAGGAGGCTCGGGGTCGACCTCTCGCTCCCGAAGCACAAGGCGATCGTGAGCCAGGCCATGCAGTCGTTCCTCGAAGAGGAGGAACGAGCTCGGGAGGACGACGGCGAAGCGAGCGAGGATGAAGTTCCGGAGTATACTGACTCCGGCGACCTCATTGTCTGCAACGTGAGCATGTTTCTCTCGATCTCCATGCATTAATCCGTTTTTTTCCGTTAGATTGTGACGCTGGAGAGATTTGGAACTCTTCAGTTCCTTCAGGAGAACTTCATCCATTCACCTCGCTTAGTCTCTCTCTTTTCGGCTTGAGCTACTGCGATGCTTGATGCAGTGGAATGTGATAATTCTCCTTTCTCTGATCGGAGTCGATTAAGCTCGTGAGATGATGTTCGCGTGGCCAACTTCGATAAAAGAAAAAAAAAATTTCCGCTTTGTCGAATTGAATGAACCTACACGTTCTTCTACTAAACATCGATGACTTGCTGAACCATCTTAATCCATGGCGACCTTGTTTTGTTTCCTTGGCATTTGTTCACAGCTATCTAGGAACAGGAAAGTGACAGTCGGCAACTTCAAAGGAAAGACTCTGGTGTCGATGAGGGAATACTACAATAAAGACGGGAAAGAGCATCCTTCGCGTAAGGGTAAGCCATTTACACGCTTCGATTTCTCATGCGGTTTTGCTGTAGTTTAATCTTCATTTTCCAAACTGCGATGATCACCTGCGGAATGTTCTTTGAGTCCTTATCGTGAATTAGTCTCGATGATATACATCTGTTTCCACGCCGATGGGATGCTTTTGCTATTTAAGTGCGACGTATGCGTTTTATTGTTACATATTGGATCCTCCAGAAGATTAAGTTCTCACAGAATGAAGAGGTATTCCTTGAGAGCATTGGAGAATAGGCAATGTACGAGTTGAGAGACTTTCATCGGTCCATAAACACCCCCACGTATCTTGGTTAAGGTGCAATGTAGGAATTGTGAAATTAGAGTAATATGCTAATAGCGCAAGAGGAAAGAACTGGAGCAGAAGCTTCAAGCAGTTGACCGATATACAGTTAAGACAATAGACAGTGGATTTTGGATTTCCCCCATGACATTTTCGCAATTGATCATCACTGTTATAAAAGGTGAACGGATTTCCTAGCTAGGCGGGGACTTTGAATCACTTCGTCTTGGATGTTGCCATTGATGTTTTGTATTTCTTAGAATGAATTTTTGGATTTGTGAGCACAAAGCTTGTTCTATCTTACTACGTCGGAATTTGCCGATACCGCTTGTTTTCCTTTTCTCCTGATAAGCATATTTGCACCAGTGCCGATCCTAGGCTGATTTCAGATTTGCATCACAAAAGCCTTTGACGATTAAGCTTAAGCAATGCCATGAAGAAGCTTTGCATGCATGCATATGAGAGTCTTTAGCTGACACGCTTGCCCGGTGGTGTCTTTTCTAGAACTGATCTCTCTCTAGCTTTTTCTTACATATGTTTGATGGTAACAAGAGGGTTTATCCTTCATCTTTTGATTGGGGCAATTCTCATGTGCTTTCCTCTCCTTCGCGTCCGCAGGCATAAGCTTGACCAACAACCAGTGGTCACTCCTCAGGAACAAGGTGCCCGCCATAGAAGCGGCCATCAAGAAGATGACACCCGGCTCCTAGGGAGACTGCTTCATTCAGATCAAGATTTCAGACTCGTCCCATTTAAAACTTTAGCCTCCATCAATTGCCATTTATATTTGAAACCGACTATTACAGCTCTGCTTTGAGCTCCATAAATTTGCTGCGTGATATGAGTACATGCTGATACAGGCCGCAAGGACACCGGAAGTAGCATTGTCGCCTGTGTATACTTTATATACGATACGACTGATGTCTAGTATCGAGCTCTTCTGCGATCTTCATTCACTTATGATACTTGTTTTGGTCCCTTTTCTGGGGAAATAAATTCGAATTGACCTTCATTTCATCGAATGCAGTAGAATCAAGGTGATGCATTTCTCCTGAAACTGCCATATCTTGCACGTCTCTCGCCAGCTTAGAGAAGCTGCAAATGATTTGATCACAGCTCATTATTACTCACAAAATTTCAGATTTTAAAAATATTCTTCTCCGTCCATATATAGTTTCTTCATAATATGTCAATACCATCTTTCCCTTAATTAATAAACGAGAATATTTTGCAATTCACAAAATATTTCGGATGTCAATTTTTTTTTCCACACACGCAAGGCTTGTGTACTTCTATTAATCTCTACGATTACACTAAGTCCATGTACAGATTTTCCCGATGCATTATCTTCCTTGTAACACTCGGTCCAACAAGGGCGGGGAGTGGTTGCCGGGACTAGAGGGCCCAGACAAAGAGCGGCTTCTGGCAAGCCTCTAGGATGGCGAAGGGGCAGTAATATACCGAATTGTACATTGAACAGGAGAGGGCGATTCTAAGATTTATATGTGAAAATTGAAATAAACCTCAAATGCGCCTTTTGAGATAATGACAATGCTTAGCTTTGAACTCCAAAGATAAGCGTGCTCAGGTGAGAGCACTTCTAGGATGGGTAACTTCCTAGGAAGGTACCTACATGTGCGCCAAAGGACAAAATTGTAAGGTTCGGCATGAAACGGGGCAAAGCGGACAATACTTGAGTTAATCCACGGATGTCACTTCCTTTCTCCGGTACTCCCAATGTCTAGGCAAATCTCGACCAATCATTTATGGAAATGGAAGTTCTTATCGGACGTCGAGCACCGCACGAAATGAAAATTTCTCGACCCGATGAGAAGGGTTTATACTATACGACCATTCAGCTTCCATGGCAGTTTCTTATGGAGAGGAGCGCTGCTAATTTGAAAGAACATGTCAAAACTCAAAAGTGCTCCAATGGCGGCACAATGGCCGAACACAGTCCAATTGAGAGGTCCAAAATTGCTGGGTTTTCGCAGTTAACTTCGATATTTTGGTCAGCAATAGCTGAATATAACGAAGAAAGATGTCATTTTCTACTAATAAATTGAGAAAAATCAAATCCTTAAATCCGCATTCTTTTCGAAATTTTATCCCGTAACCCTAGATAATTATGGTGAGAAAATCACTATCATATCAAATTTGTTAGGGAAGCGCGAAGATTCATCTCCATGATCTTCGAAAATCGCTCTTTTCTTATCTCTCCACACGTTGATTCTCGAGGCCGACCTGGATCATCCCACCACCATTCAATCTTCTTGAGGTTTACAAATCGTTTCGACCCCACCACCGCCGCTTACTACCAAAAGACCATTCAGATAACCCACCGATCCGCCACCACACACTCCGTCCTCCCGCCACCACGTCCCCATCCGTCCTCCTCCTCCTCTAATCCAATCACACATGCATTAACTCTAAACCCACCACCCCCCCCCCACGCACGCCGGAGAAAACAAGAGGTGGGAAAACCCAGCACCAACCTCCATCGGACATCGCCGTCGCCATGGGCTGCGCCTCCTCCAAGCGGACCGAGTCCAAGGTCGACGTCTACCGCCCCCCGCCCTCCAGCTTCGCCGTCTTCGACATCAACTCCATCGAGGAGCCGTGGCTCCTCGTCGACAAGAGCGACAAGGAACCAGAGAAGGACGGCGCTCCTCCTGCTCCGGACCGCCACGCCCCCGACGGCAAGCCCTCGCACGTGCCCGACCCTATTCTCCAGAAGCTCCGCACCCTCGAGTCGACCGAGTCCCCACAATCCTGGGTCGAGGTCAGCAAGGCCCTCGAGGACCTCAAGACGGCCGCTGCCGCCGCGCCGCCGCCGCCCCCTCCTAAGCCGCTGCCGCCTTCGGCGAACAATGGTGCGGGAGAGGCGGCGCAGAGGGACGGGGCGCCGCGGAAGAGCGTGTCGTTCCACACGCTCGAGGAGCTCGATGCGAAGCTGTCCACGAAGCCGGCGGAGCAGCCGCTGCGCAAGACCGAGTCGATGCGGAGCGACCCGAGGAGGAAGGTTGAGTCGCCAGTCGCGGCCGAGTCGAGGGCGGCCGAGTTGAGGGCGGCGGAGCCGGCGGCGGGGTTCAAGTCAGTGAAGAACAACATCTTCATCGTGAAAGACAGGCTGGAGCGAGAGAAGGAAGGTAAGATGGCCAATTACGACCGGATGCTGCTGAGCAAGCGGGACCCGCTGAGCGTGTTCCCGGAGAAGTGCCCGCCGCGTGGCGAAGACTCGCTGGTCATATACACGACGTCCATGCGCGGCGTCCGCCGCACGCACGAGGACTGCGCGCGCGCGAGGTCGATACTGGAGATCCACCGCGCGGTGTTCGACGAGCGCGACGTGGCGCTGCACGGCGAGTTCCTCAGCGAGCTGCGGGAGATCCTCGGGGGTGAGGAGGGGGTCGCGCCGGGGCCCGTGCCGTTGCCCCGCGTGTTCCTCAAGGGCCGGTACCTGGGGGGCGTGGAGGAGCTCGTGAAGCTGAACGAGACGGGCCGGTTCGGGAAGCTGCTGGCCTTCGCCGGGGTGGAGCGGGGACCCGGGAGGCTGGCGTGCGAGGGGTGCGGCGGGGGCCGGTTCGTGCCGTGCCTGGACTGCGGGGGGAGTTGCAAGGTGGTGGTGGAGGGCAGGAAGGAGAGGTGCGGCAAGTGCAACGAGAACGGGCTCGTGCACTGTCCCGTCTGTCTCTAGGGGCGCTCGTAGGAGTCATCATCATCGGCCGACCATAGTCATCGTTCCGGCGTCGATGTCGATGACGAAACACATCCTATCAAGCGATGATAATCCGACATCCGATGATCTCTTTCAGGAATTGGAGATCACAATGCCAAAACGCACCGTATCAAGTCTCACCAATTTTCCTCTTTATCTTTTGTACATAGTGGTGGGCATGTGCTTTGCTTTGTTCAGTTTGTTTTGTTTATCAGAAAGAAATGATCTTGATTTACTTGTTAAAAGTTTCATCACATCCGATAGAAAGGTTTCACTTTCTCTGTTAAATTTCATTTATTTTTTTGTCTCTCTTATATGTTATCTCTATGTTTTATCCCTTAACCAATCGCTAATCCGTTGTTTTAATTTATCTGGTGAGTTGAATTTGTTCTAATCTGGCTTACTATAGATGCGCGCAATGCAGAGAACTTGTGCGTAGGGGTAAGCACGGTTTCAGGGTAGAACCGGGAACCGAAAAACCGAACCGGCGGGTAAGGTTCGGTTCCCGGTTCTAGGGTGGGCGGTTCCGGTTCTCGGTTCCAATTTTTTAGGAACCGCCGGTTCCCGGTTCCGGAACCCGGAACCGGAACCGTACCCGGAACCGGAACCGACACTCTTCCTAGTAAAAAATAAAAATCCTAACTTTTCTTCACAAATTTCTCTCTCTCGGTTGCTCCTCCGTTGCGCCCTCTCTCCCACTCCCCACACCCATGACTCGACAAGACCCTCTCGCCTCTCCTCGCTCCGTTCGGCGTCCGCCTCGGCTCTTCCTCTGTCTTCATCAACCGCGGTCCGGCTCATCCACGGCGGATTTCCGATTCTGGGTTTTTTTGGTGACCAATCGAGCGGCCTGTGGCTGGAGGCGCAAGAAGGGAGCGAGCAAGGACAAGAGTAAGCGTCAGTTGACGCCCGCGCTCCCTCTGCCCACTCCTCCCCTCGCCAAGGCATGGGCTCGAACCCCTCGACTTCGATCATCGATGCGACCTCGAAATTTGACGTCTTTTCTTTGGGTGGTGTGGTTTCAGTTTCAGATCGGGCTATGCCAACTTTCGGTGACGGCGGATAAAGAGAGGAACATTGCCCATGCTCGCGACGCGATTCGGGAGGCCGTGGACAAGGGCGCTCAGCTTGTTCTCTTGCCCGTGAGTCTCTCTGCATTAGGTAGACTTAGCAGATGTTTAGGCAAATGTAGCCCGTGTTGAATGAAAAAGGTCATTGAGCATTTCGTGTAGCTGCGGAAAGTTTGGATGTGCCTCCTGATTGCAAAATGGGAAATTTATGGCTTACAAGAACTTTGTATACCTTATCAAATGCCCTTTTGTGAAGGCGTGCACTAGAAGAAAGAATGGATAAAAGCATCTTGAGCGGGCACGTGTCTGTTTCATCAGTTTTGGGTGACTTTCTGTGGCTAAGTTCTTATTGATGCTTATGTAATTGCTATGTTTTTATACTGCAAGCTTTGGCTTCCAGTAAAATCAGCCATATTTGCAGCCTGCGCCGTTCTATAAAAGGAGGGAAAAATCACGCAGCTTGCCTCATGGTTTTGTTGACTCTGTGCCAGGAAATATGGAACAGTCCCTATTCAAATGATAGCTTCCCTGTTTATGCTGAGGACATTGATGGAGGTTCATCTCCTTCAACTGCTATGTTATCTGAAGCTGCTAAGGCCTTGAAGGTTACCATAGTGGGCAGTTCAATCCCAGAAAGATGTGGTGATCGATTGTACAACGCTTGCTGTGTTTTTGGTTCCATTGGAGTGCTGAAAGCCAAGCACCGCAAGGTAACTTTTCTTTCCTTAAGTAACTATGTATGGAACATTTAGTTGCCTGAGTCTTCTGGTCTATCTGTTGTTTGAGTTGTTTTCTTTTCTTTTTGGCTCTATGCAGACGTTGGACGTATTGGTATAGGCATCTGTTATGATATTCGGCTTCAGGAATTGGCAATGATTTATGCTGCAAGAGGTAGGTTTCGTTTCCTCTTCGTCTATTTTGCATTTCCTACAATGTTGATTGCATCTTGGTGCTGGGGCTACCACGGCCCAGTCTATGCGAGTTCAAAGTAAGAAGATTTTTGACAGTAAACATGTATGTCTTAAGTGGTGGACCTTTGGATTGTTTTCCTTTGATTTATTTTCGTTTTATCCCTTCCAATGATTTTTAAGTTGAACATCAGCAAAGTAAGCCTTGCACAAAGGGGGCTTAGCTGTATAAATGCTTTTACGACATTGCGATATGTCCTCTATTGCTTTTTGTATAGAAGATATCTCTTTGCAATATTGAGGCCTAATTAGCTAGTTTTTGCCTCCTCCACTATTATATTATTTTAAGTTTCTTTCCTAGATTAATGAGGTTTGCTATTGGTGTTGCTAATTGGCCTTTTATTGACAATATCATTCTACTAAATATATTTGCACTGATCCATTGATAATAAAGTTATATGATGCTGAACTCTTGGTGTTTTCTATTCTGCATAAATGGATCTAGGTTGTTAGATAATATCCCCTTTCTACTAAGCGAAATATTGTTTTTTAATAACTAGTCATTGTTGCGTTTATTTTCGTTTTGTTTAATTAAAAACGAAATTAAAAAAAAAACCTGTTGGAACCCGGAACCGACCCTGGAACTGTGACGGGGTAGGTTCGAGTTCGCGTTCTGACAGTAGGATTCTAGATTCCAAAAAATGAGGAACTTGTACCCGGGTAGGTTCAGGGTTAAGCGGACACGAAGACAAACTGGAACCACTCACTCCTACTTGTGCGTTTACATTTCTCGTACATGCAATTTTTAGGGAAAGGCCTGTTATCTGTCTCTTTCTCTTTCTCAGTAATGATCTCTCTCAGGTCAGCATTTTGCTGTGCTTGCAACATTATAAGTTGGTTAAAAATCTTGTTACCACACTCGGAACTTGTTTGCGATTCGAGACCAGAGAGGCATGGTTTCGTGAGACATACTCTTGGACATCAAGTTGTTGAAGATGCGACTGCGTCCTGTTATTCACTGCTATAGTGTTGGGGCTTCGTCGACTTCATGGCAACGTGAGCTGTTCGCTTCTTTCAGATAAAGTAGGACAGTTTAATTATCACCTGTAGTATATAGTCTTGTCTGTCTAGGGACCCTCACTGAATATACGGTTATACGCCTGAAAGGCCTTATATGTTGCTGCTGTGTCTGTCTCGATCGCCAATGTATATCTATAATGAACGGTCACATTAGATAGATAGACGTCTTTAGGGAATTTTTTGTTCTTCACGGGGAGAGAAGTTAAATGGAATAGTAAGGATCCGCCACCAATCATAGCGTTTTACAAGCCGTGCCACAAATCAGTATGCATGTGAGCCCAATACATCCCAACACTCAAATCATGCGGGCTCTGTCTTCTTGTAACCTGGTAAAATTAAAGACTCAGATGTATCGGTGATCACATGTACCCAGAACACCTCTAAGGTCGAGAAAAGCATGAACCATTCTTTTCTGTTAGGCTCGCCATTTTGTATCTTGCTTATAATCATGCCTTTGACTTAAGCCCACACGTGACTCAAGACGTTCATCAAATCTTAATTAACGTCATTAACTTAATCATTCTCATTAGCACCCCTCTTTAGCCACTTTCACTTGCTATTAGCTGATCATTGGGAGTGCGAGTGCGAGGTGCCCCAACCAACATGGAGGCTTTTCACGAGACGAAGAGTGCGCAACGAATAACATTGAAACAAAGTTGGTATACATTTTTCAAAGCATATTGTCGTATAGAATCAATGGGAACGTAGATCAAAATAAGTCGTATTTATAGTAAATCAAAACAGAACTTAAAACAAAATTTAAAAAAAAAAAAAAAAGCATATCTGATGGTGGCTACATTTACTTTCCTAGACCACACGCTCAATAGCATTTTAAAAGTTCACAACTATTATTACTCGTCATGGAAAAATATAATTAAGAAATGGTAAGAGTTACGTTTTTGTCGAAAATATCTTATGGAAAACTTCTCAAATTGTTTATGTGACGTCTACATGACAGCCCACTTTGTGGATAATTTTTTTTAAAAAAAAAATCCTTTTGAAGGAGAAGAAGGCATCTCTAGCGGACGCCGGTCAGCTTTCATCTTCCATGCATTATAAAATCGGAGGAATCTTGCTCGCTCCCGGATACCATGCATGCCCACTAACTGATACATTCTCCACGACCTTAGAAATGTAGAAGGGTCAAAATCAGCCCAATTGAATCACACTTCGAAAACGTATGAATGTAATATGAAAAAATGAGGCACGAATCAAGAACTTGCACATACTCATACAGATGAATAGCAATTTCCGAAAAGGAAACGCAAAGTTTGAAAAACTCACGAAAATCCTTCCACTTTGTGTTCTAATGGCCTGTTTCCTTTGTCGTTAAGATGTTGGGCCACTGGGCCTAAAACAAATCCATTAAAGCCCACATGCAGATCCATTAAATATATGGATTAGATGTTAATCGCTTTCGATATTATCTTAACTATGCTAACAAAGATGCTTTAACATCTCTTTCGTTCCTATCTTTGGGTTGATTCGTCCTTGAATAAAATGTTCTTTAGCTGATTGGCCCTGGCTATATGGCCAAATTCACTTGAAAAGATCTTGATCTTCATCTCCTCTTTCTTTCTTCTTCCCCGACATTTTTTTGAAAAATGATTAGGTAGTTCTTTCGGCTTCAGCGATGCCTTCATAGGGATGCAATTTGAGGTTCAACATTTTAAAACACTTACTTTTCTTCCAATAAATAGAGTCGCGAACAAGTTGAGGAACGACTGTTGTGGAAAATAAGGGCATCCGTCGTAAACTTTGTGAAAAATGTCGACTTTTTAGGTTTTCCTTTTCCGACTTCCGGAGAAGATGAGTTTTGGGGTCTTAAAAGATTTTGAAGGGGAGAGAGAGAGAGAGAGAGAGTACTAGGTATTACCATGTATGCATTTTCTAGTTAAGCGGACTAATCAAGTGGAATACCCACAAAAAAAAACAACACGAGAAGATATCCTTCGGTGTCAATATGATTTATGGATAATTATATAGATGGTCCCTGAATTTTGGCCTAATGCGCAATATCATATTTTAATTTTTAATTCGTTCATTGTGGTCCCTGAATTTTAACGTAATGTGCAATGTCGTCCCTGAACTTTTAATTTGTTCAATTTGGTCCCTGAACTTTTGGTGAATATTCAATTTGGTCCTTATATTATATGAAAATTTTCCATTGTCATCCTTCCATTGATTCGAATTAACCGAATTTGCCGATTTGGTTTCCAGTTTGATAACTTTGAACGGTGGACAAAAAAATAACGTTAAATGTGGATTATTAACGTACAATACCGAACTCAAATCAGGATCTGATGATGATAGGATTAACTTGACAGGATTAACCACTTGATTATCCCATTGGTAGAACAGTTCGCACTGAAGAGATATATATATGCAAAGTAAAGACCGGCAATTGGAAGAGTACCGAATGAATTCTTTAAGAACGTGTTTGCCTCGGGCAGAACCGGTAAAAATCAGGGGGAGGATCCTGTCGAAAGTGGTTGAGACTTTGACAAAAGAAATTGAGTTTTTCAAATGTCTATCTTTCGGCTACGACGGTTTCACATTGTTGTTTAGTTTAATGTTCTTCTAATCCGAACCTGTCCACGATTAGGATATTGGAAGGGACCAAGAGAGTTTTGGGCGGTGCTAAATTCATTGATTAAGTAAACCAACCCTGTGGAGTGGAGGGTAGACGCACAAGCAGTTCGGATATTGTTTCCGCAACATTCCTCTGAAACTTTCATGCATAACCATCTTAATTTCTCATCAACTAGTTTAAAAACACAATGAAATTGATGCACGGAATGTGTTTGCCCAGCGAAAAGTCAATGATTTGAAAAATATATATTTCCCTTCAATTTGAATGATCACTTATCGTCTCCTACAGCAATAAAATTTGTTTTCCTTACTAATGAATAATTGTTGTTTGTGATAGGCATATTTTCTGCGAACTAACTTTTCAAAATGATACGAATAATCATTTCTGTGAAGACGTTTCAAGTCATCGATTTTTCACATAAAAAAAAAACGGTGCTTAATCCACTATAAACGAGCAAATATATACTAAAGTAATCACAAAACAGAGTGGCAGGTCATGCACGATTTTTTCGATAGGGACAGGGCAGAGAGGGATGCACGATGCATGTGGGGCTGACTCGTAAACCTTGGAATGGCTTCATGGCCACTTAAAGGTTTCGATTGAGTAAAAACAACATCATTGGTCAAAATCACGGACTCCATTTGAAAAATTGAAAAGATCGAATCCTTTTGAACAGCTCCCCCCCCTTCGAGAATTGTCGACACAGAAACTTTTGGCTGTCCAAAAGTCGCGTGATGACAATTGACAAATGGGACCGGCCAGCCAATATCGCCCCTGGCTTCACTTCGGAGTCAGTCAACCCCCACCAACACTCGTAGAAGCGGTCAAAAAAACTTATAGAATTGAAAGCCGTATTAAAATCCCAATCTGCACGTCATGGCTGATGGCATGACCTTAAGAACATGTCGTTTCGAAGCTTCCGTGTGGACCTGTCCAGCACTATTTTGCTAAGTCTATGCTTCTTTGTCCGCTCCTTCACATGTTCTCACCTAAACCATCCATTTGTCCATCTTGTTCTTTTTCGATAGAAGAATAGGATGTCGGTAATCTCTGGCGCACCTAACGCATCATAAGTCATGGACACGACACATCGCTTTCCCTCTCCGATAAGAACAGACGAACCGGCTCAGGTTCCCGTCCAGTTGTCTGATTAACAACTATTCAAACTCAACAGCAGCTTCCATGAGACTCTCCTGCTGCTGATTAGTTGAAGAAAGCTTTACAGGGAAAGAAGAACAGAAGGGATGATTCTCGCGCAACGAATCAACCCTGCATACCTTCGTTCACTTCACATAACTATTGTTTCCATTTATCACTGTCTATGTGCACTCTCTCCAGGTTCGTGTGCAAATTGCAAACCTGAACATTCATTCAATCTAGGGTCCATGCTCCCGGGACCCTTGAATCAATAATTATAAATGACATCGGCCCGAATCGTAAGTATAAGGCATGACCAACATGCATTATTAAAAAACACAAAACATCACAATCACATCTTCATAGTTCAAAAGTAAGGAAACAAGTCCTTTCTCTCCAAGGCACGGCAGCTAAGCGAAGCTGCCGATAAAAAGCATTCGCCCTTTGGCCGTTCCTCTCCTTTAGTTGCAAAAAAGAAGGCATACATGTAGATATAACCCCTCCTTTGTAAACTATTTGACAATCATATAAATACACTTATTTTAGGTTCAGTATAACATTATTCTTACTAGTATCAGACCGCAAGGCAAGAACTAATAACTACACAGCTCGTATTGGTAGGTCTCCCTGCTCCCCCAGTTGCTCGAGAACCGCCTTGTACTAACTACTCCATCACAACTTAAAAGTATTTTAAGTGCGTGTATATCTCTGTTCCACCACGAACGCTTCATTCGGTGTCGTCGAATGATATCAAGCCAGTAAGGTTAGAATCCTGATCCGCAAATATATCCAAGAGGGAGAGTGCCTGAAACAAGAAAAATCGATAAGTCGTGAGTTATAGCAAAATGAACGGTTTGTCAATTCACTTGCGGCTGAGCACAGATCTAAAATAAGAAGTACCTCAGGCACGTTGAGTTCAAGTCGGAATTTGGGTCCATCATAATGGTGAAGAATGGGTCGGAATGAGTCCTCCTCAAGTGGGTCACAGATTTTTCTAGTCATAACTCTAACCTGTTGTCAATAAAAAGGATTAATACATAGAAATCAGTTTCCAGGACTAAAAATCTCGTATGTAATAAGCCATCATATGATCAAGCATGTAAGGACCTGGACAATACCTGTGCAGGGAAGCGTGATTCGCCAGGGCATTTTTTATCCTCCCAGGCTGTTGGGTCTAAGTTACTACCTCCAAAACTTGCAGCCTGAAATTACAAGTCGATGATAATTACCAGTAAGCACAACCACCCCTAGACCACCAAATCCATGAGTATTTTTATATCATGTAAAGAAGAGGATTAACATTAGGAAAATATTAAAGAGCGTGGTGCCTTTGAAGACCATAGGTATTTCTACATGAAGTAGGTAACTAGTTTTCAAATGTGTAATTGTTCAAATTTCAGTGTGTTGGTATGCGTTATTGCTAATTTTTTGTAGTCATGGGCACTCGTTAACGAGACTTATGTTGCACAAACCTAAAAGAAAAGAATAGCAGCATGTATACTAACCTCAAAAATCCCGTGGAGCTGGTGGGTCGAGTAGTTGTAGAGGAAAATGGGCAATCCCGGGGTAATCTGCCTGACCGAATCGCGATAGCGTGGAGGAAGACCTATCATACCCACAAGATACAAACCATTTAGCAAGAACGATGCAACTACTATAACAGCGGGACTGAAATCAATCAGATTGTAACTCCTCCAGAGGAAATTATCAAAAGAGGAGATAAAAGCCCCTATAATTTGATGGTCCTGGAGTTGAGTTGAAGAACGAACAAACTCTGAAGTTACTCCAATTATCATCATCTGAATTCAATCATCGTTATGCATTTTTCTCACCGCATACCATCAATCCTCAAACATATCTCATCATCATCTCAAAGGACCCAACAAGCTCAGAAACTATGTCACAAGCAAATTCACAGCAATTCTACAGTCACAAGAAGGAAATAATTCCCCGGACCTAAAGCTAAATTAAGTATCTCCTACCATTCACAACCTCAATGGCTCTAACAAAAGAAATCTACCGACGACAGAGACTTACCAAAAAGCTGTCTTTTCAGGTTTTCCTGCATGGTGTCGTTGTTGCAGACGAAGATGTACCCACCGACAGTCTCGTGCTTGGGCAGAGACTCCGACGGCGGAAGCGTCTTGAACCTCTTGTCGACGCCGCTCTTGGCCTCCCTCTCCTCGCCATTGTTGTAGCCATCGCCGCCGTTCATCTTCTTATTCCCGCTCCCGTTCTTCTTCGCAGCCTTGCCTCCATGGAAATCCTCGTTCTTGTTCTTCCCACCCTTCAGACTAACATTGTTGTTGTAAAAATTCACGGACTTGGCGTAAATCCCCTTGTTGAACCCTTCATTGAACCCCAGATTGTATCCCCCCATCTTCAAGCCGTCGTCGAAGCCGTTGAAATCCTTCCCCCCGCCGTTCACCTTCCACCCGTAGTTGAAGGCGTTGAAATCGTTGCCGACGCTGGGGCTCCCCATCTTCCACCCGTAGTTGAACCCATTGAAGTCGCCGCCGCCGTTGCCGTTGCCGTTGCCGTTGCCAGCGTTAGCGTTCCCGATCTTGCTCCAGCCGTCGGCGGGGGCGGGGGCGGCGACGGGGCTGAAATCGTTCCCGGGGAGGTTGAGGGGGCGGGGCCCGGATCCGACCTTCCAGGGCTCGTTCAGCTGGGGGAGCTTGGAAGCCGGGGCCGGGGCGGGGGATTCGGCGCCGACGCGGGCGTCGAAGTTGAAGCGGTCGTCGGAGCGCTTGGAGGAGGCGTAGGAGCTGCTCCAGATGGAGTCGTTGAGGGAGAGGTTGGCGAGGTTGGAGGTGTGGAGCCGGAGCTGGTCGCTGAACTGCCAGAACGCTTGCTGGTTGCTCTCCATATCTCCTCCCTCCTCCTTTCGCAAAGCGACGAATTCCGAACTGGGTGAGCGAGCGAGCGAGCGAGCGAGCTCAAAAATCACGACCCGATCTGATGAAGATGACGATGATGATGGTGGTCCGAAGGGATTGAGAGAGGAGCTGGGGAGATCGGTTTGCTTTAAATACAGGATGGAATCGAACCGGGAGAAATTTCGAGGAAGGAGGGAGGAGGATTGCGTGTGGATTTTGTCAAATGGTTTTGATCGAAAGTGGGAGTATAACTCCTCGCTGGCTTTGCTGAGCGGAACTACTTAGGAAGGGAGTGGGGGTTCGGGGTGTGAAATGACGGGTGGGGGAAGACGCGTTTTCCATTTTTGGAGCGGGACGGGAGGGGGCAGTTTGGGGAGAGCGCTGGGTAGGACCGGAGGGTCGCGTGTGTAATTTCGAGTTAATAAGTCTGCGAGACTTAGCGTAGGGGGAGTCGAGGGTCCACGTCATCGCATTCGGGCCGCGTTCTAGAAGGCCTCGGAGGTTTCCCGCCCGGGTCTCGCGTTACGTGCGTTTTGTGTTCACACTCGATCTGCGGAAATGAGTGATGGTTGGTTACTTTGCTTAATCCATAAATTAGGGTATGCACTTGGTTATGTTTCAGGAAAGCGGGGGTCGTCAATGGGCTTGGAACGGTAAAGTCCGAAATAAAATGGGTGCTGAATCGGTTTGCTCTTTACTTAGGTCCCGACTCGCCTCGATGACTCTCTCTTCACTCTCTCTCGATCTCGCGCTCGCTTACTCCGTGCTCTCATCTCAGTTTGAATGCGAGTTTTCCCCGGATCGAGTTTAAATATGGAAGTGTTTTAGCAATACGAGTCGGATCGGGTATAGGTCATTGGACTTGTATTGCATGAAATGGGTCAATTTTGGTCATGCCATTTTCGACCTGTCATACCCGTTTATCGTGTCCAATTTGTTTCGGTTACTAACCCTTTATTATATTTTTCGCTGGTGCAAATGGCTTTGGAAAAGTAAAAATGTATTTTCACTTTCTTTTTTTAAGGACATAAATGTCTCACCGCCGATTTTTTTTTGTCGTAAAAAAGAAACGAAATTAAAAAGTTGAGAAAAATAAATCAATTAGAAGTGTCAGACGAAAAAAAATCAATGATAATGATAACAAACGTCAAACAAAGAAGAATCTTAAAACTAGATGGTCGTATTAATAGAACTAATAGGATATCCACAGAAAAAGAATTACCAAATAAAGTTGTGATACCTAATGCGTAAAAATCAGTCCAATTTTGACTTTTCAAATTCAAGCTCGGCTCGACATTAGTATCATGGGTGCTCAACCTTAAACTCGACTATGCCGAAATTAACGACAAATTCGAGCCCCGACTTCTCATAGAACATGAAATCTAAAAGTGATCATCAGAGTCTCTTCAGCTTTATGAATACATGTTTTAGATATTGACATCATTCAACTATCCAACCAACAGGCAACAAGCGATCTGCTAGGGCTCCCCAAAAAGGGAAACACCTCTCTTCTCTGCTTCATATCAGTTCCCTGATTTCGGCCCAACCTTGTTGCAAGAACTGGGCTGACAACTTTGAAACGATATCTACATTTCTTTACTGGGGCATTCTTTTGGGCCCGAAAGCTCATTTGTTTACGAAGAACACCATCCTCTGTATCGGATCACGTTTTCCTGTATTCATGGTTACAGGAATGTATATGATCAGTGGCCTCTCTCTCTCTCTCGACTGAGAGATCATGGTCCGTGGCCTCGAGTCCTCCACGGCCCAAGGTCATGGTGGCGGCGACCGGCGGGTGCGCGCGCTCACGGGCACAAAGATATGAGAGAGAGAGAGAGATCATGCTATCGGCATTGGTGGTCGGCACTTTGCCGAGAGAGGAGAGAGAGAGATGGCGTGGTTATTAGGGTCGGTATTCTTTTTTCTTTTTCTTTTTTTTTTGGGTCTGTGCATGTGTATGTAGCTCTTTTGTGGTGCATGTCTCACGGGGGGTGTGCCTCCTATGACTCTTGCATGCTTTGAAACTTGCCCTATATATGCTCTCTAAAAATCTACTTGCTAACATGTAAACATTCATGACTCGTATCAGTTCTGCAGTATTATTTGATCAATTCTTTTGAAATCGCGTTCGCATTGAGTCCCATTAAACGATGCAAAGTTTCGATTCGGTCCGTGTATGTCATCTGCGATTAAATTTGTCCGGTCACATTCTCGCACGACTTGAGTATTCACAACATTGTTTTCCCTCTTTTGGACACTCCCAGAATGGCTTAGAGAGCTATGAAGGTAGGTCTGATATGTTCCCCACCCCACGACACTCAAAAGAAGCTCACGAATGAACCTAAAGAACACTTACGGAGCGGCACAATGAAGTGGTTAGTGGTAGCTAAGCGGTTAAAGGAAGATGAAGGCCATCATCTTTTGTAATCATCGCCCCATTCTTGTTCCCATTAGCACCAAATGGGATAAAAAGGATTGGGGGGGGGCGGATTCTACAAGCCTCCCAGCAAATATGGATCAATAACCCAACAAAGAATGCGAATAGCTCATTCTCGGTTACATCCTTGCTGTTCTCTGACAAACCAAAGTTGGGTCCGTCCCTACTTCTTTATATTCTCCTGTCCTGAAGCTACAACTTTTCAGGAACGAAAGGGTCAGAGAGAGAGAGAGAGAGAGAGAGAGAGAGAGATGGCAGGAATTGCAGGGACTTGCTCTGCTGGTCTGCTGTTTAAGGGCAGGGAGTCAGGGGCCAATGGGGCTGCTTCTTTGGTGCAGTACAATGGGCTTAGGCGAGTGGAGAATGTGCTTGTGGCTCCTCCTAGGAAAAAGCTTGCTGGGGTTATTTCTGCTTCAGGTATGAATGGCAATGCAAAAGAGTCGATGTGTGATCAAAATCTATATTATAAAACCGTATGGTGACCTTTCGTGTCCACATGAGATAATCGTGCTTGTGATCGTGATAGCACGAAAAGTAGTCATTTTGATTTGATAAGCTAAATATTTGACTTGCGAATGAAGACATGTCAATACGTGTCAATATATGGACAGGACTCAATGGAACTTATCATGCCAAATGCAGGCTTTTCTCATTGTAAGTTGTGTTTAGCCCCCCGTGTAGCGTAAACGAGTCATGTCCGCTGTTTTCAGCTCTCTGCGCTAGCAGAGTAGCCTTCTCTCTGGTTCTGATACTTCTTGATATCCGGTTATTAACTGATTTATCGATGTTGGGAGCAAATCAAAGGTTGTCTGTTGGGTCAAGTGCTTGGGCTAACCTTGCATAGGTTATTGACATGCGGGCCTGTACTACTAGGGAAACTTTGCACTGATAGGATTTCTTTGCACTTAGTAGAGCTTGGGGTTATTCATCTTATTCAATAAAGCTGAAAATTTTATCATCAGGAAAAGTTTAACATGATTCTGATAACCCAGAAAACAACACAAAATCTAGACTTTGTCATTCCATCATAGCTCCTTCCTTTCTCCGATTTCTTTCTCACTTATAGTTGGTGGTATCTACAATTCCCTGTAACTCGTGGTTTCTTGCAGCCCAGCAAGTCTTGCTCTTGATTGTCAATTACAGAAGTTACCACGTTCATTACGGCACCACTTCTTTCGGTAGCCCTTGCAAGTGTTCTTGCTTCAGTTGGGTACCTCTAGATGCATTAGTCTAGTGTTCTCACATGCAGAACTAACTTTGTATTTAATGGATGATGTAACTCCTGGCTTACTTTTTCCAAAGGATGTGCAACCCAGCACACATGCTATGCTAATTAGTCCTAATACATTGACAGTTTGTAGAATCTGATGTTGCCTATAAGCTATGAGAGATCCTATCTTGAAGGATCAAATCCTGATTTTAGTTTCGCAATTGTCAGCTCACAAGTGTGGAAAAATCAAGGCCATGGCCTCTCCGGCTGGATCAGCTCCCAAGCGAGAAAAGGATCCCAAGAAGCGCATCGTCATAACAGGAATGGGTCTCGTCTCGGTTTTTGGCAATGACATCGATACCTTCTACAACAAGCTCCTCGAAGGAGAGAGCGGGATCAGCTTGATTGACAGGTTCGATGCCTCGAGCTTCTCTGTGAGGTTCGCGGGCCAAATACGCGATTTCTCCTCCAAGGGCTACATTGATGGTAAGAACGACCGCCGCCTCGACGACTGCTGGAGGTACTGCATAGTTGCTGGAAAACGAGCCCTTGAAGATGCCAACCTCGGATCCGAGGTCCTTGACACTGTGAGTTCAATCTGTTTGAGTAAAGCACTCTGGCAATAATTATATTTTGCATATCATTTGGTCATTTTGATGAACTTATTGCCTTAATCTTTGTGTATGTCCTCACAGATGGACAAGACAAGAATCGGGGTTCTGGTGGGTACAGGAATGGGAGGGATAAGCGTGTTCAGCAATGGAGTGGAAGCGCTTGTCCAGAAGGGATACAAGAAAATCACCCCGTTTTTCATCCCTTATTCCATCACCAACATGGGCTCGGCCCTTTTGGCTATTGATACCGGACTCATGGGGCCGAACTACTCCATCTCGACCGCCTGCGCGACCGCAAACTACTGCTTTTGTGCAGCGGCAAACCACATCAGAAGAGGCGAAGCAGACATCATGGTGGTCGGAGGGACAGAAGCTGCGGTCATGCCCACCGGTGTTGGAGGATTCATAGCCTGCAGGGCTCTATCTCAAAGAAATGAGGACCCCAAGAGAGCTTCAAGGCCTTGGGACACAGGTCGTGATGGTTTTGTTATGGGGGAAGGTTCTGGTGTGCTGGTATGTACCGTGCTGACCAGCCAATAGTCCTTCACGATTAGATAAATTGACTTTGGTTGCACTCCTTCCGCTTTTGTTTGTGCATTGGAAACACTTATGCTGCTTTGTTTGTCGTTGTGGAAGATTATGGAGAGCTTGGAGCACGCGTTGAAACGGGGAGCCAATATTATCGCAGAGTATTTGGGCGGTGCTGTAACTTGTGATGCTCATCACATGACTGACCCCCGTTCAGATGGACTTGGAGTTTCGTCGTGCATCAGCAAGAGTTTAGAAGATGCCGGTGTCTTCCCTGAGGAGGTGAAAGCACTAGTTATAATGATACATTTCCAAAGCACCAGATATAATCATAATCCTATTGGGCCTATGCATATCACATATCGTTGTTTAGATGAAGCTAAACCAATCTTCGCTTGGCAGGTGAATTATGTGAATGCTCACGCTACGTCAACCTTAGCTGGGGATTTGGCCGAGGTTAATGCCATTAAGAAGGTCTTTAAGAACACATCTGAGATCAAGATGAATGGAACTAAGGTGAGACACTTCCTGTCCTGAATTTGGTTGTGGACTAGATGCACTGATTTGTCTACTCGTCGTGTTTGTACTCTCACTTTACTGTGTCCCTGTCACCAAAAAAGAAAGTAACAATATCAATAATGTAACTTGTTGCAGTCGATGATCGGACATGGTCTTGGAGCATCTGGTGGACTAGAGGCCATAGCAACCATAAAAGCAATCACCACTGGTTGGGTGCATCCGACAATCAACCAAGATGTACTGCAACTGAATGAATGTTCATGCTTTCATTTTCTATGTTCCTTGTTTTGACATTTCCCGTGACTTCAAAATGACCATAACTCTCTATTTGTTCTGCTCTTTTGTAGAACATCGAACCTGATGTAACCATCGACACTGTCCCGAATGTGAAGAAACAGCATGAAGTCAATGTCGGTAAGATCAATACTCAGCTTTTAGTGTGAGAACCAGATCTGCTGAGTGCTGGAGTTGAACATATATGAAAACTGCTATAACCTCAAGAGAAAATGTAATTTCACTGACAATTTTGTAAGAAGTTACAGTCTCGCTGAATTCATTTCACATGCATCTGCAGCTATATCAAACTCATTCGGCTTTGGCGGGCACAACTCTGTGGTGGTTTTCGCTCCATACACACCCTAAACAAAGCACCGGCTGATCAATCGGTCATCCACCATTCGCTCTCATCGACGTTCATGGGAACATATTCATTACCGCAATAGAGTTGAAATCAGCAGCTGAATCATATGCAAGCTGCAAGGAGGAATTATCGGCATCATCTCTTTTAGTACTCCTTTCAATCCTTCTCCCTTTACCGAGACCAGCTACGAATTCAAACATTTTTCAGAGAATAAGATACCTCAGTTCATTTTTGTTGTGGTGTATAATTTCCCACAAACCATGTTGAAAATTGAATTTCACTGATTGGCTTTAATCGAGACAAGGATAAGGTCGGTTGTTTCTGGTGATATTGTTTATCCCAGAAATGTTCTATCAACTGAGAACTCCCCTTAAGTGATAACACTGTTCTAGAGGATCGATGTGATGATGAAAACAGGTTCTTCACAAGGACCTCTACTTTTCTGCAAATAGTGTTAGCAAGGACCTTTAGATCAAGAAAATTGGACAAGGATCTTGTGAGGCTTTTTACACCAGAGCCCACTTCAGAACTTCAGTCCAGGAGCAGTCACATCTTCAATATGCTTCAATAGGAACAAAATTTGCATTGTTCCTTGATTGGTCCTCTCCGAATTCTAAAACCAGGGTCACAAGGGGATGATAAAGAGTAAATCGGATGAGAAGCGTCTGCTTTCAATAGAAACGACAATCTGTGAGGCAGCGAATCGGATTTGCGCTAATTTGTGTCTCCACTATGAAGCTACAATGATCAGAAACAAAAGAGGATCCGAACTTTTACATCCTTTTCTCTCTTCTTTCTTTTCTTCATCCGAAAAAATGCTTTAGAATAAAGAATCTATGAACAATTATCAGATCTTGAAAGAAATAACAGATAGGTTCTTGCCAGGTCATGGTCAGGGAGTGGTATCTTCAAAAGCTTCAGTTCAAATAAGCATATATCTGCTTGTACTGAAGTTGATCTCCAAATGGCTACTTTATGTCAATGAAGATTAAAGGACATTAATCGCTTTTAGGCTGTCATTAAAAGTCGATCGGGAAACTAACTCGCTTGCTTCTTGTTTGGTTACCGCACCAACTGGTGAAAAAGGGGGCACTGAACATGGGCAAGCTTGATGCCTTTGACATTGACATCATTTAGGTAAGCTTTCTGTACATTTGCTTTGGAAGTGAACATCAGTTTCCCTGTGGAGATTAGGTTAGAGATAAAGAATTAGTATTAAGCCACCGTGCCTTGCACATCTAACTTTTCGATATCTTTCTCTCCCAGTCTATAGATGTAATGCATTTCCTTTAGAATATTATGTTCATCCTATCTTTCTTGAGGGAGCTAAAGAGAATATGTGTCTAAGATATCCTGGTCTTCAGTGATACATATACACTTAGACATACGGTTAATACATATATACACATCGAGTGGTGAAGCGCTTGCCTTGGCTGCGGCAGTTCTCATACTCGAATCACGACTTCTCTCTCTCACGATAACCTCGCAGCCACATCCGTCATCCTATGAATAGAGCCTTGTCCAATATACGTGAATGGGATGATTTCCGTATATTCCTTAGGATCCCAGAGAAAGAAGAAGAATAATCTAATCTCTGCCCTGCAACAAGTTCCTTACTGGGTGGTTGACATCCACTCCTCAGTTTCTCATCATTTCCACTTTCCAGTGCTATTTGACCTACTTAGCCCTTTTAAAAGAACTATTCCCATTAGAATTAGCAAGTAATATCACGGTTCCATAATTGTATGGATAGAATAAGAGCTGCGCAGACCAATTTATGCATTAGTTAAGTATATACAGGCCCACATAAATTTGATCAATTATGATTGTGTTGCTAGAGACCACTTCCCACATGAATAAACCTTATTTACGTAGGAACAAATCCGAATGACCTTATTTGTTTTCTCTATGAAGTAGAACATTGAGTTGAAAAAGAACTTCTGGGTTTGTTTTCCAACCTCTGGTTGATTTCCAAAGAGGTGGCTCCAGGAGTGTTCATCATCACCCTGGCTGAGGAGTGTTGCAGATCTCTGGATTCGATTTCCCCAAGACAAATTGCTCCAGCAAAATGGAAAACTTATCAGATCACGAGCACATTGGAGATCTGATATCCCTGGCTGTTTTAGATTTTCATTGGGGCTCGTCGTTTGTGGGCACGAGTTTTTCCACGAGCTTCATTAGATGAACGGAAAGAGATTAGAGTTTCTACTTTGGGTAAGTGGTAGAACTTCATTCTCTCTCAAAAAAACCAAACGTATACATGATTTCTCTGTTTCGTTGGAGTTGAATCGTCGACGAAATACCTTTCACCAAAGGTTGGATCTTTGGTTTTTTTTAGGTGAATAGGGTTCTATGGTGATTCCGGATTGAAGTCTTATCAATGGAACACAGAGAAGAGATATGCTTTAACGGAATTTAATCAAACATGAAACCTGATGACATAAAATGCTTTTTCGGAATTTAATCGACGATAAAGTGCGATGACGAAATACAACGTCAAAATTTAATCGACGACGAATATCTAAAAACTATTAAAATACACGTCGGAATTTAATCGATGACAAGATATCTGAAGACAAGAGTATAGGAATTGAAAGATATTAGATTGTGGGAAAGAGCAATTGCGAAAAAGTAAAAATCAAGATAAATTGCGAGAATATTGAGTTCCTTGATTGATTGATCTAGCTTACAAAGAGAACGATGTGGTTATTTATAGCCCACAAACGACGGTTACATACAGAGGCTACAATTTTGGAATTCAAATAAGTAATAACTTCCTAATGGCGGTTACAAGAAGTTGTGTTGTTAACTAACTCCTATTATCTAGAACCAATATCCACGAGAAGTTAAAAATTCATAAATTAGCAACAACAAAACATAACTACCTAGCAACTATGTCTTCGTGTCGATTGCCTGTTGTTGATGGTTTTGTCGATCAACTTCTTAAGTCTTGATGAAAGCTCTCATCGATAACTGACTTCTTTCACGAGTTGTCGATTCTCTTCAAGTTGTCAATTGTTCTGGTCATTGTTGACTAAACTCTAATCTTATTGATTAAGCTTGATACTTGTCAATAATAATAAATAAATAAAATTGGTCATTTTTGGGTTTCAACATATGCCCCCTTTTAAAAGAATTGAATGAATGATTTACCTTACCAAAAAAAAAAAAGAATTGAATGATTTATGGATTATGATTCTTTTATATTAGATAATCACGAGTCATCATGTGTCCCCTTGTCTTCGGCAAATTCGTTTTTTCCTTATTGAATTTTATCTCGATCAGATTCATCATCTGACACATTTTTTCACGAAAGCCACATTTTGTGTATAGTCTTCATGTGGCCCTCTATCTTTGTCTTTAAATAGTTGCTCGTACTTAGACACTTGTGTTGCCAGCTGAAATAAATTGGCAAAATTTTAGCTTTCGAAATTTTCTCTTAGATTGAATTTCAATCCATTGAAAGCCAAATTTATGAATTATTTCTCTGAGTGTGAAGTAAGACATCTATTTATAGCCTTTTTGAATCGAGCAAAAAATTGATTGATCGACTCGTTATTATATCGATTGGGTGTGGCCAAATCAGTAATCAATACTTCAGGTATCGTTCTGTAAAATTGAGAATGAAATTGTCTCTCCATCTTTGCCCAATTACAAATCGAATTAGGTGGTAAATCAATGTACCAAGTATAAGCAGTTTTCGACAGAGACAAAGGATATAACTTAAATCTTAAAAACTCATTTGTCCCTACTTATCTGCACTAGGCTATAAATCAATCAATGTGTTCAATAGTCAATTGTTCATCTTCGCCCGCAAAATTAACTAATTTGGGGATTTCAAAGTATCTTGTAAAAGGCTGCTTATCAACCCATTCAGGATATGGTTTCCTATGATGATACCCCTGTCTAACCCAAATCGTTGTCAAACTTCTTCGACAAACTACGGTAGGTTCAATTGTGCATTTGGTTGGTTATTTCTCCCCGTAGGCAGTAACGTTGGTCTTGCCATATTATCAACATTAATCGGCATGTTAGGCCTAGCAAGACTATTCATAGTTGGTGGAACTAGCCTTATATCTTCAACATTTGGCAATTGACCGGCCTGTTGGCTAGTTTGATTTGCCAAATTAATATCACTTATTTGGTTATTTGAACCAACATCTGCCTAATTATCGTCATCATTGTGACCTCGATTAAAAGATTCAAGCCTTTGCATAGTTCTTATATGGAGTTGACTACTATGATAAATATTATTGGCATCAATAAATGAAGAGGGACTAGGAACATACCTCGTTACCACTGGATTGGATAGTGGTGGTTGATTGGACAATCTTGATCTCAAGAGAACATCATTCATGGCATTGATGACGATCAGCTTGATCATGTCTGATATGTGACTCACAATGTAATTGGTTATATCCTTCCAGCTCTTCGAACAATCTCTTCATGGTGGCCAACATATGAGGATTTGGTGCAACTTCTCTTAATTGTTCTTTAGTGAGACGTCAAGGAAGGTCTGCACCCTCGCGTTGGCCTACTTTTGCTGCTTGGTTAACGACTGAAGATTCGAAGTGCGCAACCCTGTCATTACCATTAAGATTGTTACCCGTGGCATTGTCCGACTCTGAATGATTCCTTGTTATTGGCATTGAATTTCCTCACATCGAACCACAAGTTATCCCACTAGGCATGCTGAAAAGATGTTTTCCCAGAATTGTGTCGTCAACGAAATACCTTTACCAAAAGTTAGATCATTGGTCTTTTTTTTAGATAAATAGGGTTTTGTGGCGCTTGCAAACAAGTGTCGTATCAACAGAACACAAGGAAGAGATCTGCTTCAACATAATTTAGTCAATGATGTATCCAGATGACATAAAAAGCTTGCCAGAATTTAATTGGTGACAAAGTGCGATGACAAATATACAACAACGGGATTTCAACAACAACGAGGATCTGAAAACTACTAAGATACACGCCGGAATTTAATCAACGACGGGATTTCTGAAACTACGATTAAAGTACAGGAATTGAAAGATATTAAATTTCGGGAAAGATAAATTGTGGAAAAGTAAAGATACATTTGCGAGAACATTGAGTTCTTTGATCGATTGTTCCAACTTACAAAGAGTACAATGTGGCTATTTACGGACAACAATCGACAATTACATACGGTGGTTATAATTTTGAAATTCAAATAACAAATAACTTCCTAATAGCAGTTACACGAAGTTT